AGGTTTGTCTTTTCTAGACACCATACACAAATTTAATTGTACAATAAATGCTTTGTGACTGGATTACCCTTAGAATAATATGTTCAAGTTTCACCCACATTATAGTATATACGTCCAATAATTTATGACTTTTCATTGTTGAGTATATTCCATCATGAGAATCTGACATTTGTTTATCCATTCGTTAGTTATTGAATCCTTAGGGTATTACAGCATTTTGATCATTATGGACAGTACTACCATGTGCATCTATATACAAATCATTCTCCAAATGTACATTTGTGGTCTCTTGGGTATATATCAAGGAGAGGAATTCTATGGCATTTGTGAATTTTATTATGTCCTACTGCTATCATGTGATGTACTTTAGCTTAAGCATCAGACTTTATATTGTGCTCTCACATCAAAGTTATAACATAAGCTAATTCTTTTAACCCTAGCAGTAGACAATATTTGTACAACTAGTTGTAAACATAAGAAATGGTGATATCGGAGTATGTGTTTAGTGGAATTTGGGTTGTTTTTGTTGTAAATACACATTTATCCCACACCCAATCGGACTTTATAATAAAATCATTTATAGCGACAACTAGAATGCTAGGAACATTCTTCATTTCCTTCATATATTCATCCTGTTTACTTGTAAAATAGTCTGTTAAAGAATTATCAAACCAGATTGTAAAATTTCTAGTTAGTTATTTTGCTCATTGTTTTTGTTTGGAGTAAATTTTTATAATATAAGCTCATTATGTGGTGATATTTATGATTTATTAAAGCTTTCATGAGAATTCGGAAAGCAAAGTCAGCCTGGTGTTATAGCTATCAGGCAGTCGTGATACACACCTTTAGTCCCAGTAGCCAGAAGCTAGGAGGTGGTGGTACACACCTATAATCCTAGGACTCAGGAATAAGAGATAGATGGATCTCTGTGAGTCCACAGCCACCCAGATCTACACAAGATTGATGCAGTCCTAAAGAGAAACAGCTCACACAAAGATGATCTCAGCACCTGGAATCACACACCTTTAATCCCTGCACTAGAGGGGTATAAAAGATAGGAGCAGGGTCTTCAGTAGTCAGTATCAGGCATTCATTCTCTAGTCACATTGAGGATAGGAAGACATTGAAGTCTCAGGATTCTCCAGCCATGATGAGGAGAGGCTTCAGTCTGAGGTTTGGTGGAGGCTTCAGTCTGAGGTAGAGTCCGCAGACACTTTGCTTTTCTGATCTTCAGCTTGAAACTTGAAACCCAATATCAGTCTCTGGGTTTTTTATTTTTCATCTAACACCCAATAACTGATATAAAGTGTAATTAATACACTGCATGAGAATAAAAGAAATTAATGATTATGGTGGTAACTTTGACATCTAAAGATAGCCTCTACCAACAAAGCTATTTCAGTGAAAAGTTTGAGATGCACTAACCACTAGTCCTCAAATTTCAGTGTGTGTGCCATGGTGTGAGTGTGGGTGCGTGTGTGTGTGTGTGTGTGTGTGTGTGTGTGTGTGTGTGTGTTGTATTGCATAAAGGCATGTACAAAAGCTAGAGGAGGATATCAGGTGCCCTGCTCCATCACTGCTTGATTTAGTCCCTTGAGACAAGGTCTCTCATTGAACCTAGAGCTAGGATGGCAGCTAGCTCAGCCAAGTAATCACCCTGTCTCCAGGTATGTATAGTTAGTTGCTCGAGGACTTTTACTCAGGTCCTCTTAATGCAGTAAGCACTTGCCACCAAGCAATCTCTCTAGTCCTCAGTTTTTTTTAATATGGAAGAAATGTCATGAATGTGAGGCACCCATGGGTATAGTTGATGGTATTTTAAAGTATAGAAATGTTTATGGCTGGTTAACAGCAAGTTCCCTTTTTAGCTGTAACTCCAATTGATATCTCAGTTTTCAATCATTGTCCTAGAAAATGTTAATGAACAGGTACTAATAGAATCTTTTTTAAAGGAATGATATAGCCACCTTATGTTGATAGGGCTTACTTTTTTTTTTTTTTTTGGTTTTTCGAGACAAGGTTTCTCTGTATTCTTGTGGAGGCTGTCCTGGAACTTGCTCTGTAGACCAGGCTGGCCTTGAACTCACAGAGATCTGCCTGCCTCTGCCTCCAGAATGCAAGGATTAAAGGCATGCACCACTAACACCCAGTTAGGGCTTACATTTTTAATAAATGATACCTAGGTAGGGGGACTTAATGAAAACATGATTAATGGCCACCAATTTGTGGTAGTTTGATTTTCAAATATCCAATTCATCTTAAATCAGTGCATCTACAACTTCATCTTCCCACAGACTACCTGGGAACCTTGTTAAAACATATATTCTAGTTGAGCAGGTCTAGTATCGGGTGAGAGGGTCTGAGTTTCTAGTTCCCAGGTTACCAGATGATGCTGTCTCGGGGGTCCACACTCGGAGTAACAAAACTTTATATGACTGTCCCGTAACAATAATATACACACACTTTGAATCTTATTGCACACAAACCTGCTATAGATTACAAATATACAAATGTAGCTAGTGTCACTTCAGATTAGCCAATAAGCTAAATGACAGCTAAAGCCTTTCCATAGCACAGTCTCTGGAATTGGTTTTGGGTGCTTCTTCCTGCATACATTTTCTCATAGGTATTTGAGGCCACTATTTAGAAGAGCCAGTGATCTGGAAGACTGACCTCTGAATAATAAACCCACATGCCATATTATTTGGTGGGTTAATATAAAGCTCAGAAAATAAAAATAAAGCAAACAGATTAATTGGGAAACTTTAAAAGTTGCATAACAATAATGTGATGTGGGGTAACCCTAAAACACAGAAGGGTGAGAGAGATTTTAAAAAATATTGTGTGGAGAGACACAGAGACACAAACTGGTGAAGTTGGGGCGATGGGAAACTGAAGAAAGAAATCTAAGCTTATTACAAAGTTCTTAGCTTAACATCTTGGTAAATAGTAGTGCTTTCAATAAGAGAGGATTAGGCTGGGGGGATTTGGGAAACGTGAGTTTGGCACTGAACACACTATGGACCATATTCACAGACAATATAGTGTTTTTGGTCTGTAGTTATAAATGCAGGTTCAGATCCCAACTCTGCCATTTGTTTAAATGTGAGATCTTAGGAAAGTAATAATTTCTCTGAAGTTGCATTTATAAACATAAGAAAAGGCACAGGCTTATTAATGAACAACACATGCTGTACATTAAGTGCCAGGACAATACCAACAGGGAGATTCAAGATTGTTTGTAATCCCAAAGTAATTTACAGTAACATGCACAATTGAACAGCGAATAGAATGTCATTCTATTTTTAATGTGCTTCTAGAAAAACACTTATTTGCAAAGACTTGAAGTAGACTGTGATCAAGAAAAAAATTTACATGATAGACATAATTTAACTTGAAAACCATTTATATAATCAGCGAAATGTTAGTTTACAAAAGCAAAAAGTGCTCTAAATGTTCTGCTCTGAGCTGAAAGGGGCTGATTTTAGGGTAGACCTGGCTGGGTTCAGAGTAGAGGTAAAGGAACCATCCAATTCAGATGCTCCTTGCCATAACTATAACCATGGGGAACTGACTGACAATGGAAATCAAAAGGAGGCCAGAACTGTACAAACACGAAGGAAGACAAGATGTACCATTTGCTGCACTCGTTGACATTTCACTGTGGAGAAAAGGAGAAATGTTGTACCTTAATATACCTTCAAGCTCGGATACGTTGCACTAATAAATGCATCATGTCCAGGCTCTCAGAGGGTTGCCTATTCCATACTCTGAACAGAGCTGCTCTACTACCTATTACTTTTTGGTAGAAGGAAATCCCAGATTGTCCTGTTATGGGGTTTTGTTGTTTTGGGGGCTTTTGTTGATGGTAGTTGTGGTGCTTGTCATGCACAAGAACTTTCTTGTGACAGCCTGCACCTTGGCAGAATTAATCTAGACAGGCTTCTTCAGGGCAGAGAGTTCAGTGTCTCCAGGGCTCCTATTCTGAGTGTGCCCCAAACCATAGTTTTAGCCACATGGCCCTATGTCTTCATTTGGTATACCTTGCCACTTTGTCTGACCCTTTATCTGAATTCTTTCTATAAGTCAGTTTCACTCTCAATCTATTCTTTAGCTCCAGGAATTGAGTGAGCTTAACAAATAAACACAGCCCTCAAATAATTCCTCACAGCAGACCTCTTCCATTTTGGTGTGCGAGTAGTTTTCCAACATTGCCAAGATACCAAGCAATGAAGCGAAGCGTGCCCTACAAGGAATTTTGTTTTTCTTAAAACAGTTTGAGAAAAAGAAAATACCCTCATAGATAGTTTGGGTACCCAAAAAGTTGGACTAGAGATTCTCCATAGTTTATAACAGTAAACAAACAGAGGAAGTATGGAGGAAGAGAGTCGCAAGTTGTGAAGAAGGTATGTGCTTTGTGAGATTTATATTTTTTCCGTTATGGGAGGAAAGGATTTAATTTAGGCAAGGATTTTGAACAATGAATCTTATTGCCAGCTGTGAGTCCTTGGATACGTCATTTCACTTGCTAGAGCTTTCCATTTACTAGTGAGCAAAGCAGAGGATGTACTTCAAAGGATTTCTGGGAGGATTCCCCAAAAAATCACTTGGTACCTAGTTGGCGTTAATTAAATGGAAGTTGCTGCAGGCTACTGCTTCCTGGATGGGCCATTACTCAAAAATGCCGGAAACTTTGTTCTCAACAAATTAGTCCTCTCACTATAAAAGAACTAGAAGCATTGCTGTCATACCCAGGGTTGGCTTATTTGAATAAAAAAAATGTTTTCAACTTTACACGGGCAAAACTCACTTAACTGGTGGCGGGACCGCTTCGAAGGCGTCCCCCACCCACCCAACTCTTACCCCAGTGCATTGCGGGAAATGTAGTCTCGAGCTATAGTCGAATGGGTGCAGGAAAACCGATAGAAAACTACAACTCCCAAGAGGAGACAAAGCGGGACTATTTCCCAGTCTGGCGGTTGCTCCGTGGGAGGGAGTTGGCACTCTCTCTGCCTACGTGGGAGAGAAGGCAGGATTGGGGGAAGTGTGGCAAACCTCCGGAGGCACCGCCACCGAAGGAAGGTTTGGTGGGAGGAGAAGTAGAGGGACGAAGACAGGCTGGGAGGGGATAGGTAAGGAGGACAAATAGGTCGCCTCTTCTGAGGCGGCACAAAGTTCTTCGAGATGTGGCTGAAGCCTGAGGAAGTGCTGTTGAAAAATGCGCTGAAGCTGTGGCTGATGGAAAGATCCAACGAGTACTTTGTCCTGCAAAGGCGTCGAGGCTATGGGGAAGAAGGCGGAGGGGGACTTACAGGTAAGTGGCGGCCAGCAGTTGTGGCCAGCTACACCTGAGTTAGGGCTGTGTCCACTGTCCACTCGGTGGCGAGGCAAAAACAGTTATTCCTCGCTGCCCCGCACCTCGTCCTAAACCCGCGGCAACGGACTGGAGATTCGGCTCCCGCCACCACCTTTCTGCTGCTACCACAGAGTCCCGACTGCACTGGACGAACAGTTGCTCTTTGGGTCGGACCCTGGGAGGGGGGCAGCTAAGGAGGAATCCAGTACCTGGTGGATCGCTGCCCATGGGGGAGGGGGCAGATGGCCAGTGTGCTAGCTTTTAGACCGGCGATGGGAGCGGGTTCGAGGTTGGGAACTTAACTTTTTCCAAAACCTAAACAAATAACCACTACCCTGGGGAGTAAATGCGCGGGAGGCGGGGGTGGGCATTGTAAGGACGTGGGAATCCAAAGGAAAATAAAATGTCCCAGTGACACACTGAGAGGCTTCAAGTGAGATTTGGGTCAGGGCTTGGGGATGCTTGATGCTGGGGAAGTGGAGGAGCTGCCTTCAGAATTACTCACCTCTCCCAGTTTTGCATCTTTCGCTATATATATATATATATATATATATATATATATATATATATATATATATATATATATATCTCCAAGTTTTCAGTCCTTGGGAATCCCTGTTTCTGTTAAGCACACGTTTCTCTCCGGTGAGTTTGGCAATGCCTCTTCTTTTAAAGATGTGTAAACCAAACCCATGAAACAGAAGGAAATTCAACTTTCCCTTCCTAACCCACCCTCCCACAACTCTTAATTTGAAAAATTCAAAATGGGTCCATGTTTGAAGAATTCAAAGAAAGCAGGGGCTTTCAAACTTTCAGACCTTGAGGAGGCAAGATCTGTTTTTCATGCTACTTCATGGCTTGGTATTAGGACCTTGAAGTGGTGGACCAGGCTTAATTTGGGGAAGGTGATGGATGTGGAGGAAAGAAACAAAAGTCTGAAAAATCTGAATTTTGATCCTATCCTTATCTCTTACCTGTTGGATGACATTTGTCAAATTCTTTCATATATGCAGTTCTGTATGCTACAGTGACTTTTGGCAATTGTAATTCTGTTGGAATGTTGGACTAAGAGAGGACGGTGGAAGTAGAGGAAGATAAGTTGGTTTACTAGAAAACTATAATTAGAGCCAAATGACTGAAGGCTTGAATGAAGAAGATTCTTGGCTTAAGTGACACTGATTTCCTTCTCCAGTTAAAAACAGTACTGGTACCTACTTTATGGAAATAAGAATATAAAATAGAAGATAATGGTCACAGAACTATATTTATGTTGAGGCAAGCCTCCCCTAATTTGGGTAGCATTCATATGTCTAATGAGATATATAATTTTTACAAGTAACATTCGTCTTATCTAACTTCTTAAAAGGGCCTCCAGGAACAAAAATTACCCTGATAAACCTGTCATTTAGCTTTTTTTCTTTAAAAATTACAATTTATCTTACAGAAAAGTTTTCATTTGGATGGCAGTTTCACTTCAATGAGAGTTTCTCAAAGCAGGTGAATTATAAATGGATTTTTTCTCTCTATCCTATCCTCCTCTTTTGTTAGTTTCCCAATTGCTAGAAAATAAGGAAATTTGTCTGAAGAAGTAAACAAAGATTTCTACCAATCATGTATGTATGTAGTGACTTATGGTCAGTTGATTTCTGCATGATTGCTTTACCTGTGACATTGACAAGATACCTGAAGTCGTCGTGTAAAAAAACAAAATGACTCAACAAGGAGCAAAGAGCTACTTTAAAAGTTCCCTTGCTTTCCCCTGGTCCACAGCAGAAGTGTATGCTGGTTTTCATGGCTGTTTAACTGCTGTCTTCTAATTGAGAAGCCAAGAGCTTTGCTGTGCTGTGCTCATTTGCACAAGCTTTCATCAGAGCATGTCTATATAACTAACAGAAGTGTGCCTTTTTCCTTTTCATTTACTTTGTGTGTTGTGTTATGTGCTACCCCTTTAATAAGGTTAGTTTGTAGGTTTTGTATAATGGAGATGTAACAATGACCACCAAGAAATGTTAACTATTGTATTTTAAGATTTGTTTTCACCAGGCAGTGGTGGCACAGGTTTTTAATCCCAGCACTCAGGAGGTAGAGGCAGGTGGGTCTCTGAGTTTGAGGTCAGCCTGGCTACATACTGAGTTTCAGGACAACCAGGGCAACACAGAGAAACCCTCTCACAAAAAAAGCGAAACAAACAAGCAAACAAAAGATTTGTTTTCTTTGATATGTGCTAACTGGCAGTACCACCCAGTAATCTAATATCTTGAGTATGGATTTGGTGAAGTTGGTTGGTTCCATTTGCAGGGAGAGGTCTAATTATATAACTCAGGCCAGCTTCAGACTCACCATTTTCCTTCCTCAACCTCCCAAGTGCTGGTATGATAGGCATACACCAACCACCAAGCCTCATGAACTTAGTTTTCTTTCATAACGATGGTTCTATCAAAAGAATTTTGACATTAGAATCACAAGACATGCCACAATATGGGAGGCTCTCTCAGCCGGGACTCATGGGGGATGGCCTATGCCCTGCCCTAGATGAAATGACAGTTACTGGAGATCCACCATGGAGTGCCTCACCCTCCATGGGGATCAGACTGGAGATTGGGTGGGGGACTGGGGGACCTGGTGGGGAGGGCAGGAGAGGAGGAAAGGGAGAGGGAGCTGGGATTGACATGTGAAACAAGATTGTTTCTAACCTAAAGAAAAAAAGAAAAAAAAGGATCACACCAACCCTTTTTTAAATTTTTAGATACTTTTTAGTAGACATCTGGTAGATTACTGACCATTTATCAAACTTTGTCCTCCTTAATTATCCTGGGTCATAGCAGAATGGAAGTTTTATGGAAATTTGGTGGTGGTTCTTATTTTCATTTATCTGGAGGCTATTTTATCCTGGATTTCTCTAGTTGCCTCACAATTTCCTTGCCTTCTCATGGTTGATAAAGGTAGAGACTTCACTATTGCAGCTAAATTTAGAACCTTGTTTTGTATAATTAAAATAATTCATGCATATTTAGCTTATTAAGCACAAATCAGCAATTTTCTCTCCTTGGCAGTTGAGAGCCACTACATAGACTACATCCTGTTAAGTACTCTACAGAATGAGGCTTAGGAAGACCTGCCAATCAGGAAGTCTTGGGTAGTCTGTTGAGAGAATTTTCCCTTTGAATTTTTCACACCTGAATAGTGGTAAGCAGGTTCTTAGACATTAGATTTATAGCTTTCATTAGATTTATAATTACCACTAACAGACTTTTTTAATTCCATGTAGAGCAAAATTATAAAATAAATATTAAAACAAATTATTTTAAAGTATTCTCTTTCCTTATCCACTCTTTGATCTTGGTATTGTTCCTTTGAAATTAAAGAATCTATATAAGCTAGAAAATGGTTAAATTTGAAATAAGCATTTTATTTTAAAGTGTTTGTAGTTTTTCATTTTTTATTTAAAGTTTATAAATCACTGTAAATAATTTACTGGAAACACATGTATAATAAACAGAATGTATAACCATGTAACTGAAACCAAAAGCTTTTCATTTTCTTAAATCCTTTACTCAAGAGTCCAACTCTGAAAATGTTCATATTTCATATAATTAGCAAAATACTGTGGCATTTCATGCTCACAAAGGGATCATCTGATAAAATGTTTGGTACCTAAAGGGTAAACATGCAATTTTATGATAGGCCTGCAAAGTCCTGCTCCCCATATATATACATCATATGCTAAAGGTAAATTATCATATTGACTTATTAAAAAGAAAAATCTCACATGGCAAACACTAAGAAGGACAAATCATATTTTGTGCCCCTGCCCCAATCCTTGGGGCACCTGATCCCAGTAAAATCAAATAAAAATTATCTTTAAAGATCTCTTGGGAGTTAGAGAGATATCTCAACGGTTAAGACAAGTGACTGCTCCTCCAGAGGACTAGGTTCAATTCCTAGCACCCACATAGTGACTTATAGCTGTCTACCAATTCTAGAAGATCCCACACCCTCTTCTGACCTCAACAGACACCAGGTATGCATATGTTACACAGACATACATACAGGTAAAACACTAATACACATAGAAATAAATTTTCAAAAATTTCATGTAACAAGAAAATATAGCTTTATAGGTTTTGAGAACTAAAATAGTCAATGTTATCAGTTTTCTAGCTTTTAAAATTACTTTTCTATTTAACATATAAATCTATATGTTTCCCCCAAACCCTTTATACCTAATCTGTATAATTATGACTTTAACTCTGAAAGATTTCGGGTTCATGTCCCTACGGTGCATAGGAGTAAACATTCCAGTCTGTGCCACAAAGGAAGAGGCCCCAGGGGCAGATAGGGAATGGGAAATGGTGAGACACATGTCAACCAATACCTAAAAAAGCATGAGGTTGTCAAGGGAATGGGAAATGGTGAGACACATGTCAACCAATACCTAAAAAAGCATGAGGTTGTCAATAATCCTTCATTTCATCAAGAAAAAAATTACCAAATTGGCCATCTTCATTTTTCAAAACTTCAACCTGGTCTTTCATATTTAAATATAACATATATAAATATACTTTTTTATATAATATGTATATAATATAGAATATGTAATTTAAATATATACCTTTGTGATATAAGGATATAGATATAGGTATAACACACACATGTGTGGTGTGTGTGTGTGCAGTATGTGTGTGTGTGTGTCTTCAGAAGTATTAAGATGTTCCAGGCAGACAGGGGAGCACAGTATGAAAGATTCCTCCCCTCTGGATGTTACATTATGGGATTTTTACCAGCATTCACATTGTTCAAATGCACCATCCAGTGTTCACATTTTCTTCATTAACCCTGTTTCCTTTACCTTCTTTGAGTCTTTAATATGTAGTTGGTCTCTTTTTTATATAAATTCTATTTAAATTAGAAACAATCTTATTTTACATATCAATCCCAGTTCCCTCTCCCTCCCATTC